GGTGCACTTCACTTAAAAAAGAATAAAGGGAATACATCAGCAGGATAAATATTAACAGGTGGCTACAGATCAAAACCATCAGCAGGGCAGAGCTGACATAGTAAGGCCAGATAAAAGGCATCATAGGCCCATGTCAGCCATCCCTGAATGGAGTCCTATTGCAAGCAGTAGAGCCTGACCACACCAAAACCTGCTTGAGCCCAAGGGTGTCTGCGCCAAGCCCAACGTGGGCAGGGAGATGCTGACATCAAGCCACAAAGAGCAATCTGTGGAAATGAGGAAGAGGAGGCAGCCATGAGCCTGGGTTGCTTTGACTCTCCGGATATACCCAGTTGCGAAGGTAAAACTGAAGCTTCCTTGCTGCCTGGATGGGACCCACTTGTTGCCAACCCTGAGGACAAGGAATGGGCACCATGCCCTGTCCCCAAGGAAGGAGAAACAAAAGGGGTGAAGTGCCTTGTTCTGCCTAGGGGATTGCATTGCTTTAATCCAGTTGCCTGTCTTTGCTGGTCCCAGTAAACCCCAGGCTACAAAAGCTTCAGTAGGCTCCTAACCCTCAACTATCTAGAAGCACATCGTGGAGACACAGATGGGCAGGATGCTCGCCAGCCACTGCTCCCTCAGCAGGGCTGAGTCAGCCATTTAGGGACTCCAGAGACACAGGGTAGAAGCTTCAAGGAAATACGGTGAGTTACCTTGTAAGCAATGTTGCATCCAGGAAGGATAACACTGATGGATCCTAGCCTAGCTGCTTAACATGGTACAAGTTACTTTTTAATTGCAATTGAAGAAACTGGCTTATCGAGAAAATTTACAGCCCATCTTCTAGAAAACTGAACAGCCTACTCTCTCCTTCTCTTCCTCTCCTTGGCATCCCCTGGAAAAGGCCAACAGTTTTCTGGAGTACAGGCTCCCCCTGACCACCCAATACAGAGACTTTGCCCACCACTGCACCAGATACCTGCTGGGTTCCTCATCCTTGCACCAAATAGCACCTCAGAAACGCCCCTGGCCCCCATGAAGCAGACAGTCACTGGCTGAGCTGGAAAAAATCCCCACCCTGTTTTGCAAACAGCTATGGAAAGGCCCCATGTGCCTCCTCCCCGAGCAGTAAGGTGCTCCCCAATAGCTTTATATTGCCAAAGTGTGTTAAAAGGATTCTCAAGGCTGTAAGGAAGGAAAAAGCTGGGGAAAATCTGGAAACATCCCCTCCTGCCCCTTCCCAGGCATTCACAACATGGCTGTGTTTCCGTTGCAGCACAATGGACCCAAACTTCATCGGTTAGGAAATAAGGCTGCAGGAGGTACAACTGCACAGGGCCCACCAGTGAACCTCAAACAATCCAACCACTGCATCCTCTCTCATGGTAACTGTGCTGGGCATCACATTGTCTGTGCAAGTATCGTAGAACTTCAATCACTCTTCACAGGAAGCAGCACAAGGATATATGGGTATTTTTGTGCGTCAGTCATTCTTGGAGGATCACTAATGGTCCCATCACTCACATCCCACTTCTTGAGCTTCTCTTCTTTTTGGGTATACGATGCCTCTCCCTCTATCAGCCAGTTCTGCCTCTTTATCCTGGCCTCATCTCCTCTCTTGCAAGTAAGACAAGCTCGAGGTTCAAAACTGAGGCCCCTCCATGTGCCAGCTCTGCAGGGAGCCCTAGAAAAGAGAATCTGAGAGCTATAAATAGATGTCCCTCACCACAGCCCCCATGGGGCTGGACAGAAGATCTGCATGATTGCACAGCTCTAGAGCAGGAGTGGAGGCCAGCACTGTCCATAGAAACTCTCTTGGTGGAAGATTTTCTTATCCTACAAGGCTGGCCATGACAACAGATGTCTTCATCCCCTCAGGGCCCATTTCCGTTTCTTTTCTGACTTAATAACCAATCTGCCCTGTGTTTTCCCAGGGGAAACTCGGGTTATCTGCTGACAGTTCCTTCCTCTCCTCCCCCACTCTGAGTCCTATGACATGATCTATTTATGCAGCTGTCCCCTTGCCCAAGCCCAGACTGTACTTCAGTGGTCATGGGGCCAAACGAAAAACTCATCTCTGTCCCTAAGAGCAAGCCAGCCCCAGCTCACCTGGCAGAGACAGGGAGAAACCTCCTACCAGCCATGGAAGACTTCTCTGTGACACCAATGGTCATGTCCTCAGTGCTGTGGGGTGTTCCTGCAGAAGGAGGAGTCTGACAGCCACCTTTTCCACCCCCTACCTTTCCTCTTCTAAGCTAGGCTGGAGTATGCTTATAAACCTCTACTTGCCATCACGACTGATGGAGAGGATGTCCTGAGCCATCTCCTGGGGGCAGGAGCAGCAGCAAGGCACAGGACCACGCTCTCCTGGAGCTTGGCTTTGCCGGGAACTCCTGAGCAGCCTCAGCACTGGTTTGCTTCAGTTTGTGTCTGCAGCATCCTGGTAGGAAGAGCTCTGGCATGGGAGCTATTAGAGTGGGTGGCAGCAGATGGTGAAAACAGAGGGGATAAGAAAATAAATACAAAGAGGCTATCTTGAGGGGAGAAGTCGCCACATCAACACTCTGTTGCTTACACAGTCTCTTTTCCCAAAGCCCAAACAAACATTGCTCGGTTCCCGGCACACAAGGAAATGGCTCTGCTGAACACGGTGGGACAGACACCTGGGCACATGCAGCACCACACAGCCTGAGAGGTGCTGCAGCCCTGCACCCCGCTCAGCTCTTCGTATCCTAACCTAGTGTTTTCAGGAGGATCTGTGTCAGGCAGAGCAGGGAAATCAAGGCCAAGAAGGGAGCCTGCATGCCCTGCTTCCTGATTAACCAAAACTTAGGCCAGTCCATCTTTCCATTAGCCCGAGCGTGGGCACAGTACCACCACATCTGCCCTATCCACAGACACCAAAGCACGACTGTGTGGTGCTAATGGAATACCTTGCCTGGTATCTTCAGAAAAGCAAGCAGAAGATATTCCCGAGGGAAACAGGGAAAGCCAGCGCTGGGTCTACAGGGAACTGCCCAGTGCTGTCTCACTGGAAAACTAAGGCACCTTGTACAGCAGCACAGCTGCTAATTTGAAGCAAAGCACTCCCTTTCAGGGATCCCACATAACCTTGGACAGCAGCAGCTCATCTCTTGCTGACTATCACTCCAGGCTATTTGACTAACTCCTAAGTCTGGAGTCTGCAGCAGGACCATTTCTGATCCTCTGGCCACCAGCAGCAGTGAGAAAGGTCTTTCCCTCTAATGCTTTTCCTGATAGCAGCCCTGACAGCCCTCCAAGGAATAAAAGCCCAGATTTGGGGAAAAGACGTCCAGCTAAAGTGGGGAGAGCCTGGCTTTCCAGGCTGCCCCATATACATGCATACTGAGGACAATTCATTGCCAGCCAAGAGTCCCCAAAACCTGTAGCCCTTGTCAAAACCTCCCATCTGGGTCCACAAGAGTGCTCTATAAGGGGAAATCAGAGGTCTTTAGACATGCAATGTCTGGTTCAGGCAAAGGCAATTTATTATGTTAAGCATATTATTAAAGGATCTAAAGCAACAGCAGAGATGTTCCAAGAACGGTTTTAACTCCCCAGTAAGGGATTCCTGGGAGTCCTCTTGTTAATACTTTGCACAGGGCTGTCTGCAACCAAGCCTACGGTGAACATAAATGCCCCCTCAGTCCCCTTTCAGAACTCGTTGGCTGTATTGATTTAACTGAATCAGGGAGACTTGAGGAAGCAAAGCTATTAGTGGGACCGCAGTTAATTCTGGGGGAAAGAAACAAGCAACAAAAGCAATAAAACTGATGGATGGTTTATGCAGACACAGTAACCCTTTCCTGTCCTGGTCCTGCAGAGGTGAGGATGCCCACTGGAGAAACCCTTCTTCCCCAGATTTTGCATGGTCTCTGCTTGGGATCAAAGTACTCCTGGACCGGTGCAGGGCAGAGGGCCATAGCACAGAGGTGGACATGGGGCTGGGAAGAGACAATGAGGCTGCTCTGAGGAATGGAGGGTGCAATTCCAGGCTAGCACTATGTCACTGGAGCCCATCAGCACCCATCAGCATGCAAGACCTCAGGAAAGCTCATTCCCAACTTCCTTTGGCAGCTCCCCTTCAGGGAACAGGGGAGCACACAGTGACTCCAGCTTTGGGTGGAAATTGTGGTCTAGCAGCACATTTTTGCAGCCAAGCAGGAGAGCTCAGGGCAGTGCAGGGACATCACTTCAGTGGCCCCTGTGGCACACAGTCACCAGCTGACCTGAGAAGGATCATCTTCTCCATCACAGCAATGCCTCTTGGCAGCAACACACAGGCCCATGTCTCCCTCGTGTCACTGAGACAGCTCACGTCTGTCTTCCCCACACATCTTCCCATTTATTCTCCAGACATAAGGCTTCTGCTTCCTTATATCACGCTAAATGCATGCCATAAGCATTGGGAAGGAAGATGACTATCATGGTTTTGCTTTCTAAAGCACCTTAAACATCTGTAGGTGCTTGGAGAGAAATTCAGCAGCAGTAGCTATAATGGCAGCAGTGTTAAAAGCGGCTTAGGAGACGGCAGAGCCTGGCTGACTGCCCAGTGCCCAGACCAGCACACAGAGAAGAGCTTGCCAGGTGACAGCTACATAGGAAATAACTGAGAAGATGTAGAGATAGAGGCCCTGAAGCAAAGCCCACCAACATGAGTTGAAGGTCCTGCAAACTTGTGGCATCATAATTCCTGAAACAGTAATGCCTACAAAAGTAGCAGAAATAAGTTTAATCATATTTGCTCCATCTACAGGCCTATCAATGTAATGTCATAGAAGAATACAGCAGTCAGAGACTTGCACCTCTCATCTCACAAAATATCAAACAACAAGATAGCACAGGCTCAAAATGGGGAAACCAGCAACAGACTGACTCTTGCACTAAACCAGCGTCTCCTTTGGACAGCACCAGACTTCATTAAAAAGACATCTGTGCAGCCTCTCATTTCTAAGGCTACACAGCTGTGGAAAACATCATCTCTTTACCCAATTTACCTCCAAGTCCGGGTCTCAGGCGGTTGTCGTATCCATCCAACAGCCTGTCCAGGATGCGGGTGAAAATGGTGATGTTATCTTTGCTGTCATCGACGACGTCTGAAACATGCTTCTGAGAAAGCCTGGCACATGGGTGAAAAAAAAGCATCATCAGAAGAGAAACTTACTCTTTACCTGCTCTGAACATTTACTGGAAATGAAGGGATACTGGTTCATGCTCCAGCGGGCCCTGAACTGAAGGATGGGGCACAGCTGTTGATAAGGTGATGTCCTTGCAGAACTCCCCACAGGGCACCTTGAATCAACTCCCCTCTAACTTCTGCCACTGCAGTCCTCACTGTGGAAGCTGAGGCATTCCCACTGCCCCCTCCCCACCTTTCCCCACTTAGGGCCAGTGGCACCATGGGTAGTGGTTTAGGAGCCCTGTTTTTTCAGGGAGACTTCCCCTGCCCCAGCATTCATCACCTGCCCCTAAGAAAGGTCACTGTATGAAAAGACTCTGTGGGAACCTCAGTTACTCAAGTGCTAGTATCTTCTTATAGGCAGGGGGGAAGAAGTGATGCCAGTTATTTACCATATACAGCCATTTCCAAATTCTCTGCTCCTGGGAAGAGGGAAGGGAGGCAGAAAAGTAGGAATTCAGTAAAGCAGGCTTAAAGCCTGAGTCCATCATTAAAACTCTTCGTGAACCATTTCTGCAGTTTGTTGAACTTTTCCTGTTTATAAAACCAAATGAGTTTTCATGTTCTTATCTCTGCTCAACACAAGAAGCCTGGAAGCCCCCAAACAAGATGATTTCCTTGGGGCATTTTCTGCCCTAGGTGGAATAAAATAAGTAGTAAATTTCTCAAACAAAGCTCATCTCACCAAACAAAATCTTCAATGCAGTTTTGCAAGCCCAAGGGGCTCAAATAGTACATTTGCATTTTGTGTCTCCCTTTCAATCAACAGAAGAGGAGCCTGCGAATCCTTCTGAAACTGTCTGTCTCTGAAAGAGATTTCAGAAAACAGAGTACCAGTGCTGTGGCTCCAAGCACAGCTTTCCCCAGCAGAAATAGCTGTTAGGACAAAAATAAATGGAAAGGCAGAAGATTAAGTAACAGAAAACCAAAAGAAAAATCTATAGAGATGCGGAGATGCAAGGAAGATGGAAGAGGAAATAAAAGAGACACCAATGAGGCCAAAAAAAGATTAAGAGGCATAGACAGGCAGTGGGATGGCTGAGGAAGCCCAGCCAGGCAGGGGGAGAAAAGGCTGGTGGAGCGGAGGGATCCTCAGCAGCATCAGCAGTAGCCTCTCAGGACCAGGGCAGTCTCACATCTGTGCCCAGCAAGATCATGGAGCGGATCCTCCTGGAAACTATGGTAGCGCACATGGAAAATGAGTGACAGCCAACACGGTTCACCAAGTGCAAATTGTACCTGACAAATTTGGTGGCCTTCTACGATGGGGTTACAGCATTGGTGGATAAGGGAAAAGCAAGACATCATCTACCTGGAGTTGTGTAAGGCATTTGACACTGTCACTCACAACATCATTGTCTCTAAATTGGAGAGACGTGGATTTGATGGATGGACCACTCGGTGGATCAGGAATTGACTGGATGGTTGCACTCAGAGAGTCACAGTCAACAGCTCAATGTCCAAGTGGAGACCAGTGACAAGTGGCGTTTCTAAGGGATCAGTACTGGGACCAGGGCTGTTTAACATCTCTGTCAGCAACATGGACA